ACTTGCTCCTATTCGTATTGCACATTGTATAGCTTTAATTAATCTTCATCAGCGTCACTGTAGACAAACAAAGTGTTAGATAGGGATTTAGTTTAAATTTAAGAAAGGATGCTACCGTAACGCTAATCTGTACAGTATTTAGTTTTAAATAATGTCCTGGTCAAAATTAAGGAATGTTGATAAGGGTTCGAGTTCCGCTCCGGGCCGATTCTTTTCTTCCAGTTTAATCTAAAATTATTTGATTTAACTATAATTATTAAATTTAATACGAGATTGCGCCTAACGCCTCCCTCTAGCGTTAAATTTATAATTATTTAGTTGTTATTTAGCCCGATGTCATACGACAGTTGTAGCTTTACTCTGCCATTGGACGAACGTTCGACATTCCATTTGCCGTTGCGGTGGATTCGACTGGTCGAAAAACTATATTTTCCGTCATGAAATGACGGCACGACGTTAGTAGGTCGTGTTTAATTTTATCGCTTGCCGCAACCTCTCTAATGTAAATCACCTTGAAGCGTCGGCACGCGTACATGTTTTTTTTTTTAATTAAACATGTCTACTTTTCAGACTCAAAAGATTTTCTCCATTTCTGGCTTAGATACGAATGTTTAGATCAGGTCAATAAATGGTGGTGGTCAATCGTTTTTATCCCTCCCCACTTCGGGAAACGCTCCAGTAGGAAACCCTACATATTAATTATCAGGTAAAATTAGATAAAATTACCAGTGACATGTTATATCTTCAAAGGGCTGAGGAGAATTAAAATTAGGGAAGTCCCATGTACTGTACTGTAGGCATTTTTCTTCGGACGATTTTTTGGGGAAAAATCTTTTCTTATAGAAGATTGATTCAGGGCCCTCTTTTGGTTCATGTCCCAGACAATTGATCATTTTGTCCATAGGATAACGCTCTGTTACTGTGAATGACCGATATCTGGCGAATGTCGACATTCTCCGGTGAATGTCAGCATTTACACAGTCGTTTCGTGTATGTACGAAATATTTGCTAAATATCATTATTTCTCACTTAACCGGCACATTCAGCATACACTGATGGTAAATGTTGAATAAAAATATTTTTATTAAAACAAAAATGCAACTTTTTAATATGTGAAAATAGGAGAAAGCTTAAGTAACAGCGCAAGTAAATAAACTGTTGAACCTAAAACAAACAGTACGTTCTAAATAAATTATGTGATTAATGTTATACAATATTATTTATTCCAACAACTTAAACTGTTATGGCATTTTGAATTGCACAAGATTCCCTTGCTTTTACAACTGCATTTATTCGTGGAACACTTCTTTTAGCAATGACAGCATATATAGCCTTGCCCTCCACTTTTCGAATTAGCTGCAGCTGCTTTTCTCAGCGATATTTCTTTAGAAGAAATCTCATCTATGGAAAGTAACTTTTCTTTACAAATTACGAACTGATTACGGGTATAAAGCTGCTTGAGGGTACCAATTTTGTTTGCTAATTTATAAAAGTAGGAATCTTCTATTCTAACAACAACCGCCAACACATTTCGGGCATCGGTACGGCCACGGTCGACACAGCGACTTGTATTCGTACAGTATCACCAATTTGAGCAGAAGGAAATGGCGAAGAATTTGGCGACAAACTATTGCCTCTCTGTCGACATCGGCTTCTCGGGTGTCGTTTCGACCTCCACCAAAGCTTATCTGT